ACTGCTTGATTGCAATTGTTTCGAGCGACCGCAATGATACCTTTGACCTGATCTGGAAGAAGGCGTCGCAAGGATGCATCCCAGGCGATGGGATAGGTCACGACTGCCACAATTGGTGGTTTGGCGCCATCATTGGAGGAGGAGGGTCCGTGCACTGGATGAAAGAGGAAGGAGTGCGGAAAGGAGGAATCCGATCGGTCTCCTGGAAGTCGGTCGTGAAACTGGGCGTGATACTCTTTCTCTGCATCGTCGCCATCTATATACGGGTTGATATTGGAGAGCAACGTCTGATTCCCCATGGACAAAAGGGAAGCAAAGAGGTCGTCGTAGTTGATGGAGCTAATGTCAAAGTTGACAATGAAGTAACTGCAAGGAAAGAATGTAGAAGGTTAGTAGGAAGTGTGTCACATACATGTGTGGTGATAGCACCGTGGATACCAAGAGGTACGCACCTGTTGGGAGGAGGAAATCGGTATGCCAAAGGATAGTACTCATCCCTGTCGGGAGACGGAGTGACGGAAAAGTCCGTGTTGTTGAATCCAAGGATATCATCTTGATATAGGTCAGGAAAGAGCCTGTCCATGTTGCCGTAAGCGTCCATGTGACCTGCCTGCACCCATTCCTCATGTCGGGTTCGCTGAAAGTCTAGGTAGGCTTCTCGTTGATCGTGTCGAACTCGAGTCAGATAGCCAATGCTTTCCATGTTCTTGGCGGAAACTTGCTCGGACGCAAAGGCATTTAGCCCGTGGTAGTAATCATAGTAAGGCCAAGTTGTGTTGGTCAACTCGGCAGTGGCTTGAAGTGTCTCTGTAAAACTCCTTGCCGCTTCTCGTATTCGCAGGACCTCGTCGACGGCTGCTTGGCCAACCGTGGTGGAAAACTGTTCGAACGCGTCTACAAAGTTGGCTTTCTCCTGTTCGCGGAGCTTCATATAAGACCATCCCGTGACGCAGATACCGGTGATGCTCAACCCCAACGTCGCAATCACCCGCCACAAGTGGACGCTTCTCGTCTGGGTAGCATTGCCCTTTTCAATCTCCTCGACTTCGTCACGTTCAATGTCATCGTAGATTTCAGACTCCTCGGATAGGAAGTCTTTTGATTTAATATTATCATTTGCAGAGGCGGAGGTGGATGGAGACACCGTGGTTCTTCTCATGGTCTTGATTTATTTGAAGGTGGATTTCGCTGAAAGTGAGGAAGGCGAGTGAGAAGCGGAAGGTCGATTTTGTGGATACAATCGAAGCATTCAATCATCCGAGGTCTTGGGTTCGAGGTCCAGGCAATAGAGGCATGGATGATCCGGCACTGGCTAGCCAGCAAGCAAGTTATCGGTAGAGCAAAGGTATCCGGTCAATAGACCAGGTGGGGCAGCTTATTGTAGAGTCGGGTGTGGCGCGTCGGGGTTGGGTTGGGTGTTCCAGCTGGGTTGTTCTAGGAAAGTCGTGGACTCGGAGATGCTCTTTCTGACCGCCGAAAAGAATCTTTTCCCCTCCTTAATAAGTCATTTTGGCATCAGATATTATGGCTTCTTTCGCCTCCCACTTGGTGCAATTCAACCACAGTGCCGGAAGAAAGGAAGGTCATTCAGAAATGCAGCTTCTAACTCACGCGTTCCGTCTTTGGAGTCCGTTCGCATGAATGTGGGGCAGGCCGTGTTGCTCCGTCCTGGCTCGCGAATCCCTCGCCTTTTGCAAGTGGCAACTAATAATAGTCTAAACCGAGCCGAGCCCGCATTTTTTCTTTCTCCGAATGGTGTCCACAACAGTGCCCGCGGAACCGAGGGGGTTGGTACCGACTTTATACCTGTACAGTCGTAGTTGGTGCTAAGGAAGGTATCATAGTTCTTGAGACAGAAAAGAGGGTGTACGGTACGGTGCACGGGCACAAGAAAAGGAGGGAGGCATTTTTTTAGCTTCCGTGTCAATCGGGGGTCCGGGACATTTCGAGCACAAGCAACACGATTAGCTATTAACTCCTCCGGAGTACTGTACCCAGGAGCTCAGGAGAGCTCGCTCTCTGGAGAAAGTTTTGGCAGCTTTCGAGCTGTACACACCTAAATACAGCTGGAAAGCGGTACCAAATGAATGTCGAGAGCTACTAGTATGTCGGCTACTGTAGTACATGTTCGACATGTTTTTAAAATGTCTACATGTATGTACTCGTACCACGGTACCGGTATCTCAACCAGCCCGTAAGCCAACCCATTTAAGCGCTTGACAAGACCTTCTTGTTCCTTTGAGCTTTTGACTTTGAGAGACATCAGCGGAGTCCTTCTTTTTAATAATAGTCATGAGTAGACGGACATGGTACATTAGATTTACAGTGCCTTCCTCAAGTTCTCTGGAAACTGTAGCAAAAGTACTAATCTACTAATATTCAAGCTTCTACTTTGTGTTTAAGATTATTCATCAGCTTCCAACCAGAAAGAGTGACAGAGTGACTGAGGCTAAGGATCGGCTATTATTTTGCAAGAAATACAGTACAGCAGAAGTATCGTTGCGTCCCTTGTCCATTGAATAGTTGCTTTCTTGCCAGACAAGTCCGAAACTTCATCACCAGCAGGACCCACGGCTTCTGGACCTCCAGGTAAACGTCTGTTCTCAATTGCAGCACTAAGACGAGTCAATTCTTCTCCAGATTCGACCAAATTCCGGTTAAAGATCTCGACAAACTGCTCAACCGAATCACGCATTGAAGCCAAAGACTGTGCCCCAGCATCCTGTACAAAATGTTCGAAATCATCAAACGTAAGGGGAGTCGAGTCAACCGCTAGATACGTCAACGCCTCCACAATGTGTGCAACCTGATCTCCGTTTGAAGCAATTACTTGCACAATGCCCCCAATTCCCTCGGCTATTTCTTGCATGCGTCGTTGTTTTGCCCGTTGAACTTCGAGTTGTCTAGCTCGTTGTCTTCTGTGCAGAGCTGTTAGAAGTTCTTGGGCTTGAATCGAAACCACTGAAATAAATATTTCCGGATCAGCGGCGCAATCGTCATACAAACGATCTACGTTCGCTTGTGCACGGAGGCATCGCCCAAAAATTTCCGAAAAGCGGGGTTTAGGCAACAGAGAACCTGGATTGGAGGCATTGGACTGGAGCGTTCGGAGCACTGATCTTCGTTGCGTCTCAGTTAAAGCGGTTATGATCCCATTTAGGCGACCGCGAACAACTTCTCGCTGCTGTGCGTCCGCGTCCTGTAGTTGGTCTTGGTCAGTACCTCCTCTGTTTTCTCCACTCATCCATCTTACCGTAACTTGACGAACGTTGGAGATCTGGACGGTTGTGATGCTACCGGTACAGTCGTCGTCAATGCTGCTTCGTTCGGGCGCCTTCGGTAGCCAGTTGGGCTTGCGCTTGCTATTGTGAAGAGTTTCTGCCATTTGCAATTGGACAACAACCCTCTTTTTATGTCAATAGCGAGACGTGAGAAAATTACTCGGCCCCTACTGTATTAATAGCGCGCGGGCAGATCAATAGATATAATATATAATATTATCTTACTGACACTCGAATTCTCGTTGTACAGTATGGTGTTGGTACTGGCGGCCTGCCCAGTGCTAGCTAGTAGCTAGTGGGGACTACATTCTCAGGATGATCAGTTCAAGAAGGGAACTCATGTTGGTACCGGTACATGCTCCACAAAAAGGGGGCAATGGCATCTTGGCCGTGATACATGTAGATTGTTAGGCTTGCAGCCAACAGGCGAGGATACCGTACCGGTACCGTCGATGGTGGTCCTTCTGGACCTTGACAGCTTACACTTCTTATTACTAGTAGTCATCTTTAGACTTCATTTGATTTTGTTTTCTATCAAAAGTATGCATTTTGCTTTTTCAACTTACGTTTCGAGTAAACTACATGTACAGCACTATGCCAACATTTGCCCATCCCCCAGATAGAACAAAAGCCACGAAGACATCCGTGTGGCATTGCGAGAAGAGAGGAACGGATCTAGCACGGCCTTGTCCGTGGCGTTGATCCTTGACAGCTTAATCTACTTAGTCTCTTTCGACGTCACCCAAATTATTGGCTTGCGGCCTCTTCGATCCTTCCTTGCTCTTGCACTGCCATGGCAATCCGATGGCACAAACAATCTTATAATAGAAGCACGGAAGATTGCCCAACGCTCATTACCAGTGCAACTCAACCATGCAGTCGACCAAACATGACGATGCTCACCAAGCAGTCATGATGCCCAGTGATACCGGTACTGGTCCTGATGTGGCTGAGGAGGCAGAGGAAAGCCATCCAAAACCGCCAACAAGTCATACAGAAGTGTCAACCAGCACACATCGAGATCTCGACGGGTCAACGGCAGAATCACTTTCCGAAGAATTTGATGTCATCGAAAAGGCTACCAGGATAAGTGCTTCTGGTGGCGTTTGTGAAGCTGGCGAGGCGGAACGTCGAAAGCTACTTGCTTTTGAACAAAAGGCAAGAACATCCAAGGAAAACTCTATTGAGACAGCTGACCCTCAAAATATGGAAGAAGGATTGGATCCTCTGGACCTGGCTAAAATTGCGGAAACACGGTTAAGAGATTCGGATGCCAGTCCCACAGATCAAGGGCGCACAATAGCGCTTTATCCAACAACCACACAGGCTGCTTCACCTGTGACGGGGACACACGGATATGAGGAAGAAACCAATATATCCCCACTCGATCTGGCCAAAATAGTGGAGGCTCGGCTCCAAGATTCAGGTGAAAATAGCGCCACTCCAGAAGTGGACAATTCTCAATCAGCTGTAGACAACATTGAGCAGCAGAGCCACCATCAGGAACAAAAAGTGAGCAACAGTACGAGCACTGGCGATGCCAACAGAATTGGACTCGCCGACACCAATGTGATTCGGGTTGATATGGTACAAGCTGATGGCAATCATGGAATTTTGAATTTGCCTCGACTGGAACGGAGTACTGCCAACCGAAGGCCCCAATTACAACCAGGAGCCTACCCAAGTGGAGGAAATTTTCACGCAACGGAGGAAAATCAGGAAACCGCTGTGACACACATTGAACCAGCGATGACTCAACCACCTACAATCGAACCAGAAAATTTGGCTGTGGCAAACTTGGTTGAAGATGAAACAACCGCTCAGGATCTACCCCAGGCTCAAAATTACAATCTGGAAAATGAAAACAGAAACAGAGAATCAAGAATGAAGCACTTCAAAACCAAGGTCCTCTTGGGTGTCATTGTCTTGTTGGCAATCGTTCTCATTTTGGTAGCCATTGTGGCACCTGGAAAGAAAATGGATAATGCAGATCTTTTCCCATCAACCGCACCTAGTGAGTTGCCCAGCAGCAACCCATCTCAGGGACCGTCGTCTTATTCAGAATATTGGCTATCACTTTTCCCTGAATCCACAGTCTCAGCAATTCAGGAGGACCCAGTATCACCCCAGTCGATGGCATTCCAATGGCTTATGGAAGAGATTGATGTCCTACACAACCTTACAGAGGGGAGAGTGGTACAACGATTTGTACTAGCTACATTCTATTTTGCCAACAGCGAAGAACGATGGCTCTTCAGTAACAATTGGCTCAACCACAGTGTTCATGAGTGCCTTTGGTATTCAAGTTTGGAGGATTGGTTTTTCTTTTCTGAGGCAAATATATATATCCCACTGGATCATATCGCTCCCTGTGAGCAAGATCCAGCTGGATATCTAGAGGATGGCATCTTGTACCAGGGAGATGGAATCCTGAAACATTTTTGGCTCTCCTTTAATGGTGTAGTGGGATCAGGGATTCCGCCAGAGCTCTACTTGCTTACTGAACTTAGGAGCTTGGCATTGGATGAATTAAACTTGACCAGCACCATCCCAGAAGAGCTCTCGGGCCTTTCAAATTTGGAGTATCTTTCGATGTTGGGATGTGGGCTTTTTGGCTCCATTCCTGAAGCACTCGGAAGTTTGTCAAAACTTGGAGTTATCCACTTTTTCTACAACTCTTTGACAGGAACTGTAAGTGGCGACCTATGAAGTATCTGAGCAGAGCTTGCTGCAATATCTCACAATTGCTGTCCTTTCCAGATTCCATCATCCCTTTTTTCCCTTACAAACTCAATGCAAGTCATCACTTTGGTGGGAAATCAGCTTACAGGACCTGTAGGTACAAATGTGTAGTCTCTACATTCACTGGTTTGGTGTTTCTGACTTGCTGTTTCAATATGGCAGATAACAACAGAACTGGGATTGCTAACAACTTTGGTGGGTCTAGGATTTGAGGCCAACCTTTTCACGGGGACAATTCCCACAGAACTTGGGCGATTAACTGGATTAAGGTATTTGTTCCTGGCGGGCTTGAATCTGAAGGGTGCTGTAAGTGTCACCATGGTATTTGGTTGATTCTCTGTGTTGCAATCTTCAGATCTCACCAGCACATTCTGGTAGCTCCCGAATGAGCTTGCAGTTCTTACAGACATGGAACTTCTGCAACTGCATAACTCGGGTCTTACAGGGACACTCCCTAAATGGCTTGGCAACATGACATCCCTGGAAGGATTGACTCTGTCGGACAACTCCTTGACTGGGACTGTAAGTCTATTTTGCACCAGTCCTGTCGAGATTCTTCTTCTGCTAACACCAAGTCGATCATTTCTTCTTTTCCCTTTAGATCCCGACAGAGCTTGGCCTGCTGACAAAATTGTGGAACTTCTGGCTTGGTGAGAATGCTTTGTCGGGCGGAATCCCAAGTGAAATTGGAAAGTGTGAGCAAATGATTTATTTGGTCTTGGAAAGATGTGGTCTCACAGCAACCATTCCTACAGAGCTTGGTCTGCTTACTGAGTTATTGCAGTTGTGGCTGTTTGACAATGATTTGACTGGAACAGTGCCCCTGGAACTTGGCAATGTTCCTTTCCCTGCTCCTTATGGTCAAGTCTTGTTGGATCGAAATCATCTTTCTGGCGTTATCCCTGAGAGCTTGTGTTCTGCCAATGACCTTTCCTTTGACTGCAGCAGCCAGCTCTGTGGGTGTGATTTGTGCAACTGTTCTGACAATAGAACATCACCGATACTGGAGGGAGAGACTACAAATGAAGATGGCCAGCTACTGAATGAGGCAAACCAAACTGAGGCGAACCTAACTGAACCCCGAATGAAATGACAGGATGGTTGTGTTAGTCATTATAATACTACATGTTTGCATATAAGTTGTTGCGAGAAACACAGTGTGTGGATTTGTGAGTGGTATCACGATTGACTTCTCCTCGCGTTGGACCCTCATTCTTTCTGAGCCCACCAAGTTTGCATGTGTGGCTCTAGTGTCCCTGGGGGGGGGGGCTCAGACCAACTCGGAATGATTGACTATTCAATCAACCACAGGATCTCTATCTTCAAGTGGTCGCCAAAACCCAAGAACAGGTTGTCCAGAGCGGTTGAGGTTGGTACAACGCTGTCAAAGGTGGTAATAAGACGGTAAAACGAGCGGTAGAGGTCGATAGCTTGGTAGAAGGTAGTTGACGGCGGTCAAGGTAGAAAGCAGAAAGGTGGGGTGAGACAACCTCAGTTATGGTCAGTTGGTTTGAGGCACCCCCCTGCATGCTAGCACAATGAGCTACCGCCGTTCCATCTCGGATGCCAATGGTGCACTTGCTTCCGCTAAGCTTACCCCCCTCTCACTCCCGACTTCCCCTATTTCCTCCTTTCGCCCCTCACTGCCCCCCCTTGTCCCCCTTTCCATGCTCTCTTCCAGTGTCCCCACCATCCATGTCCCGCCCTGCTCTGCCTAGCTTACCGTAACCCCCCTCAGATCCTTAAACCTCTATTTACTGTAATAGTTATTTTGGTGATCCCGCTCAGCAGGGGACGGGATACTACCGATATCTAGAATGCCCCCAGCTAGCCAGAACAAGAAAGCCATGAAGACATCCGTGCGCCATGCCGAGAAGAGGAGAACATCGACTTGCCGCTTTGCCGATCGAATAGCCCAGTTTTGTGTGCAGCATTTCAAGCAGCACATTCCATCCTCGTTTCGTGAAGAGCAAAAACAAACATGCCTGGCTGCCATTGTGGCATTTGTGGAGGGTAATGACAACAACAGCGAAGAACTTGACAACGGCTGCATCTACATGTTGGGTATGGGAGTAGGGACCAAATTCTTGCCCAATGAACTGCTCGATGAGGAAATCAAATTGGATCATTCCTCTTGTACTACAGGGAATCTAGTAGGAGGCTACGGTAGGCGTGTCCGAGATTGCCACGCCGAGGTTTTGGCCAAGAGGGCATTTCAGCGACAGATCCTACTCACCATGTTGCAAGACTTGAACCTGCTGCCAGGATCTCCTGATCCCCTACCTATTCTTCGACGAGTACAAGTGGATGACAACACCAAGGATGTTTGCTATGGATTGAGGCCGGGAGTATCTCTACACATGTACACCAGCTCTGCCCCCTGTGGAAATGCCACGGTAAGCTCTCGATCATCTAGCAGGTTGACGCTTCCAAACATAAATGTGTATGAGAGGTTTTGTTGATCCTAACAAATTTTGCTGCTTGGTTGGTTTCAATAAAGCTCAAAAAGTTTGCCACAATGACAAAAGAAATCTTCCAAGAAAACCTGGCCGACAACGAATGGCCAAAGACCGTCCATGAACCGATTCTTGGGCATTCCATCCCACTGGGACAATTCGCATTGCTAGTGAAGAAGGAAAGAATACCCCCTCCGGCATCAAAGAGTCCCCCAAGCCTTGAATCAAGCGAACACAATAGCAATCTGCAAAAAAGAAAGCCGCCCAAAGATTGTCCCGCCACTCAGTCCACCGACTGGTGCCCACCTGGCACATCCACCGTCTGGTCGGGACAGGGAACCATACATACTTGTTCGGACAAGATTTGTCGATGGAACTGTTTGGGATTGCAAGGGTCGTTGCTAGCTTCCCTACTGGAACATCCATTGAAAATGGCCACCTTGACGGTGGGAAGAAAACTGACCGAATCCGTGTGCAGGCGTGCGGTATGTTGCCGAGCGTCGGCAGGAAAGCGAAAAAAGAACAAACAAAAGATGATAGATCAAGATTCTCCGCCCAAGTGGGCCTCCTACCAAGTCAACCATCCAACAATCATGGGAACCTCCGTGTACATGGATGACAGTGGTGTCATAGAAACGCCGTCGCCAGAGAAGAATGAAAGCAATGGAGATAATATGCGAGTGGAAGGTCAAGACGTTCGTTTCCACTCGACACTGTCTTGGGCATGGTGGCCATTCATTGAATACGACAATTCATTCCCTTTGGGATATCAGCAAAAGAACGGGGAAGTAGTTGCCGAGTGCATTGATGGTGCCACTGGCCTTGTGGCAGTAGTAACAAGCCATTCTGAGCAAGAGGGAGTTGATACTAGTAGTTCTGAGCCATTCTTGTCCAGAGTGAGCACAGTGGCGTTGGTAGACCTGTACTGTCAAGTAGCCGCTGCAATGGTACGCGATGAATGTAAGAATACTTCGAAACTGTCAAGACCCAAAACTTTGGTGGATTTGCGAGCATTCAAGCGACAAACTTCTCCTGTCTATGAAGCCCAGAAGGAGGAGCTTCTCACCAAGCACCCTCTCTTTCGTCAGTGGAAACGTCGAGAGAACAAAATTGATTGATACCACCATGGCTGGTTGGTTCAGGCCTACCGGTAACGGGGACCATTGGTTCTCTCCAACCAACCGTACCATCGTTCCGAAGTACGGTACATGTACCGGTAGGACGAAGCCACTGTCATCTAACACTCTAGATCATGGTAAACAAAGAACTAAAATGAAAAAGTGAGAGAACTGATCTGACCCGATCAGTCTCAATGCTATCTAGTCTGGCCTTCAACCATGTGGGAATGACGACACCCTCCCCTTGAGCTTGCTAAAGCTCAACAAAAACAGAGTGAACCAAAGGGAAAAAGGACAGAATTCAATAGTAGCATATGGTTAGAGAAAACGTAGTAAGGGCGACATAACCTGTCATCTAACACTCTAGATCATGGTAAACAAAGAACTAAAATGAAAAAGTGAGAGAACTGATCTGACCCGATCAGTCTCAATGCTATCTAGTCTGGCCTTCAACCATGTGGGAATGACGACAGCCACAAGCAAATCAGAAGCTGAATTGGTGATTCGCGGATCTAAATTTAGTTAACTATGAAGGGCACTCCGGGATACAAGATAATACTGGTTTCCTCCGTGCCATAGGCCGTCTCGGACGATGCCATCTCTACTAGTTCGAAAGCGTGATCTAATGTTTTACAGAGCCTAGCGGCTCGGAAAGGAAAGGGGGTCGAGTCGGTGCTCGGGAGTGTATGCTAAGGGTCACTGGGGCGCCCCCTCGTTACCCCTGGCGGCCGTCGCCATCCGAGATTTCCGACCAATCATCCAAGGACTCGCCAGACGATGAGGGCTCCACTACTTGTTGCCATGACTTTTCGTCGGAACTCCCAGAGCCACGACGCGGAACCACTACAGCGCTGCCCTCGCTGTTGCTTGATTCGGAAACCTCCGACCAAGAAGCGTCGTCGCTGATCCTTCCGCGAGGCTCGGCTGCCTCCATAAGGACCCGTGGGGATCCGCCACGAGCAGCCTTGACTTGGCCCATCAGAGCTTGGAATTGCCAACTCGAGCGCACTACGGTGCGCGGTCCTCCCCGTTGCTCATCACTCGCAGGCTCTGGTGTGTTGTCGGCATCATTTTCTATGTTCTCTTCATTCTTATCGTCGTTGCAAGCGGTTCTCTCGTCTTCGGCATCAGGCTGTTTCATGTCATCAAATGCCGACGCTGTTGGAATGATTGCTTGGGGCTCCTTTTGTGCTTCGGCTGCGTCGACAGCCGCGGCAGTTGTGGCTGCTGGTGTCTCGGATGTCGTATCTGTCACTGCCTCGATGCTTGTCGGCTCTCCTTCGGTCGCGTCGTGGGTATCAAATATTTCTTCTTGCTCTCCTTTTTGTTGCTCCTCCTCTTCGTCATCGTCGTCTTCACAGTCGTCCTCATCGTCGTCATAATATATGCTACCACTCTCAAAGCTCCATTCTCCTTCGCTCGCGCAGTACGAATTACAATCACTATCGTAGTCAATCGGAACATTCTCGAGGCGGGTGGGATTTGCACCCACAGACTCCAGCAGCGCGATCTGCAACTGGCGGGCCTCTTCTTCGTCCCCGCGACTCTTTCGTGCGGTGGTGGTGGCGGTAGTGGCTTCCGAAGCATTGTCATCGGGTTTCTCGTCATTAAGCAGCAAAGACGCCGCCCACCCCCGGATACCCGCTGACGTGTCATGCACTACTTCAAATGTTGCAGAACCGTGTTCAAGCTTGTAGAAGGATTCGTAGTTGTACAGCGCTACGTCTATGACGGCTTCGTCAAACAAATCTCTGGCGCTCTCATTTATACACCCAAACTCGTCTGTCCCCGGTGGTGGTGGGGTTGGAGGTCGCCCACCGCCGCCGGTGTCGCAGGTGCGATAAGACGACCCCGAAGCCACCGAGACGTCGTCATTCAGACTCTCACATGCCGCTTGCACGTTCTTCTCTTGCAGCTTGTTGATCCTTATTGTCGCAACGAATTCGTCTCCAGGAGACAAATTCTTTGCGACAAGAATCGGCTGCACGTCCGCTTCTTGCCCGTTGATCCTTGTTGTCGCAATGCAATCTTTTCCTGGAGGATCTTTTGTTACTGTTGCCACCCCAGGCCCAGGGTTTCGAGGAGGTCTTTCCGCTGGACTTGGAGCTCGGTAGAATCTAGACCGGCGCGCCAACATCCTCCAGCCAGGTTCCAGCAGCGGATTGGCGTCTGTGAAGAACGCGTCACCAACGGCAACGGAGGTGCTCTCTCCATGACGAGAAACTCTGTCCCGTGCACGCCCCCGCTCCCGAAAAGAGATGGGTTCTCCACTGCGCTTGGTGGCGTTGGTTGTTTTTGTTTTGGGTGTTTTGTGCAAACCTCCGTCGAGCAATTCTCGCGCACTTTTTGCAACGTGCGGCGGCATGACATCTGCGATGTCGGTGTTCCCATGAGTGGCGGCGTTGATGAAAAATTTCACAATCGCCGCCGTGTTTGTTTGCGTTGAGGACTGGTTCCCATTGACGGTGGCGCTGCTGTTGTTGCTATTTGAGCCGTCATTATGTCCACTGCCGTTTCGGGAACCTGGGCCGCCACCACCAGAGCCATTCCCTGCGTCCTGGGCACCACTGCCACCGCTGCCCGAGCCACGATCAGGCCCACCAGAACCAGAACCAGAACCACGGACACCTGGAGGCAATGCTGAAGGACGAAGGAACATTTGGAGCACCTGCATGTAGGCATATTCGTCGTTGACCTCAATCCATTCGCGAGTCGTTGGATTGTGGAGCTTCAAAAATCTACATGTACAAGCAAGATCAGCAAGAAGAAGATCAGCCACAGTTTCCAGCTTTCACCAGCCAAAACAAGGCTCACTGCACTCTAATCTCACCTTCCTGGTGGGGCTTGTCCCTTGACTTGTTTCACAACTTCCTTCACGAGGAGAGCCTTGTTCTTGGATTGAGAGCCGTGATAAACGGAACGCGCCTGATGAATCAAGAACGCTAGTTTCATGTTGCCCGCATACTGGCGGAAATCTGACCCGTGTCTGGGCGCCAAAAGAACATCGTTAATGGTTGGCTCAATGCGGGCGGCACTTGCTTGCTGGTTTCCGCTTCCCTCTTCCTCCTCTTCTTCTTCTTCTTCCTCCTCTTCGTCATCGTCGTTGTCAGAGCTGTAGTGGCTGCCTCCGTCCTCTTCTTCGACGTCCTCATCTCCAGTCACCTCGCGCTGAGTATCTTCCTCTGCTGGATCATCGTTGACACTCTCCTGTCCTTGTTCCTCCTGACTGGATTGATCCAGTGGCTCCGGCGGGAGCTTCTGGTTGTTGTTGGGCTTGGTGGCGGGGGAGGATGCCCTTGCTGGCTCCGGAGCCCCCATTCGGCAAACAATGTTGGCACGGATCCGAGCAGCCGGTTGATTCAATAATATTTGTTCGAAGTGATGCTGTTCTGGCAAGAAAATGTTAAAGCCCAAAAGGAGTTTGTCGTTGCCTTTGAAGAGCATTGTCACGTGTGCTTTGACCCGGGGCACACTCATCCCGCCGGATTGAAAGGTCTTTAGCACGGCCAAGAACTCGTCACAGACATGACCACCAGGAAACTCTCCTTTGACTTGATTGATATAATCCACCACATCCTGTACTTTGGGTAGTGGTACGGGCTGTTGTGCGGATGCATCGGATGGTTGGGCATTGGCCGCTCGCGTCTGTATTTCCTCCAGCTCGGTGACATTGATCTTGTACGTCTTGAGCGCCACCGTTTTGAGTTTGGTATATTCCTCTGATGACAACTCTGTCTTGATGTCATTCAAACAGTGCAGCACATCGGACATATTGACACGGACCTTGGCATCCGTCTCCATACCACATGCTCGTGCCAAACGCTCGGCAGATCGCTGGATGCGTTGGCAGGCTTCATTGCGGTGAAAGGCTGCCCTTTGGCAGAGGGCATTGAGAATCTTTTGACGGACTTGTGCCGGTTCCATTTCACACCATTGTCCCGGCTCGGTCTCTTTCAAAAAACGTCCTCCCGCTTTGGTGACGGCCTCTCGGATCTGTCCCACTAAAAACATGGTTTCATTTCGGGAGGTGACATCTCGATTCTGGTCTCCGGTCTGTTCCACGAGAAGATGAAACCGCTGATTTCCCTCTGATGTAATTTGTGTAGATTGAAAGAGCACATGTAAGAAAAGATGAGGCTCCACAAAAAAGGCTTCTTGCACAGACAAAAAAACAATTTGTGTTCTTTCTTGCCATAACGTACCGTGGTCAAACGCTTGCTCACTCTCCAGAACATCATTGGGACCACACGAAAAGACCACGGCAGGAAGCTTGCGGTCTTCCTTTGCCTCCTCCTCCTCCTCCTCCAAGTCAATGACTTTGATTTGGAATCCATCTGGGGACTGAGTCGTGCCTTCGTGCTTGCTGCGCTTGGAACTGGATCGCACCACGGCAGGACTTCGTTTGCCAGTGGCTGCTGCCTCTTCTGGCTGTTGTGGTTGTTGTACGATGGGATATAGTGGTTGCGCTCTCAGTGGATTGAGGATTTCTCGAATGAGACACGATGCGGTGGCGAGCTGCTCATCATCATCCGAACGGGTTGACTTCTTTTTGTTCTGTGAGAATGTTTCTTCCATTATTTGGAATTTCTATTCTAAGAGATGGATTGGTTTGTCTTTTTCACTGTTTAACGTCTCACCTCCTTCCGTTGCTCTTGCGCCGAAAGTAGGTACAATGGCTACGAAGGGCTATAAAGTTGACGGGGACTCTGTTGTTGTCGGATCTGCTGTTGTTGGGGTATTCTAAAGGTTGTTGTCTGTCTGCTGCGGATCTGGCGAAGACAAAGATGCGATCTTGCCATCAGAACAACTTACACGCTTTGGGCACATCGTGTTATTCGTGTGTTTCGCGTGAGTTGGGCCCGTTGGACGTGTTGGAGTGAACCAGTCGGGGAAACTCGGGACACCAGCCAGACGTGCTCAGGTGAATTAGAGATAAGGCTTAGCCTTTCACTTAGTGAAGATTTATTTGCAAGATCCGACGTGACGTCAGAGTGAGTCACACTGTGTCAGGGGACACAGGGGTTGTGTCCGTGGAGGTTCCGTATCTTTCTTCTCCCACTTCAACTTTGCTCGAGGCAACAACCATGTCCCTCCATGCGGTCCGGTCCAGTACCTCGGCATGTGCATGACGAATGGGCATCAAGAAAGAAGGTGCATCATCGAAGCTATCATCTAACAAATCAACACTTGAAATGAAATGATATGAGCCTGGTGTGTATCCAACAAAGCACAAGCAGTGTCAATCTTATCATTTCTTTCGGCTGAATGCGAAATATCATCATGTGGCTTGAAGGTGGGATTGTAACCAAGGTTCCTCCTGTCCAGACAGAGAGGACCATGACAACCACAACTGCAGCTACTACAAGAAAACCAACCATGGAAAAGAGCGGTAGCACTGGCGGAGAATCCCTCCTGTTGTCTTCCACCACCACCAGGTTGTATTCCACAGCCGATGGGACGGAAATGGATCTTCCCTACAACAATGACATGGGCGTTTCTTCTTCTACCGAGGATCAGCAGTCGTTTGCAGTCCACCCCGATGAACCCAACTTGTACCAAATTCCAGCTGGTTTGCACCCAATCTACCAACCATTGCCCGTCATGTTACAAGTCACAGTTTGGTTGGTGTCGGCCGTGACTGCTGCTCTTTGGACATACTATCGAAAGCAACAAAAATTAACTTGGGTGAGTCCCCTGGTGGCCCTGGCCAATAATCAAGTGAGCATCAAAAGACTGTTGGGTTTTGTGGTCAAAACACTTGTCATGGCAACAGTGAGCCAGACGCTCCTGCAAGAATTGCTGACACCACCCACACGGATCGCAACACAAGATTTGATCCGCAAGTACATTCTACCCTCCAAGTTGTCCCAATTTGAATCCGTGCCACTCCAACTCCCCAGTGCAACCGATGGTACTACCAGCACTACTACTACTGACTTGGGGGTACATTACCTCCAGTACCAGCAACAACAAACAACTCAATCACCGCAGCCACAATTCCAAGCGCTGTATATGAATCATGGATTTGGTGCTTCGTCGCTCTCCTGGCTACCGGTTCTTCCTCGCATGGTGGATCGTTTGCGGACACGAGTGGGATTGGGCCATGATGCGGTAGGATTTGGATTCACTGATCGACCCGCCACAAAGTCGGCTTTTACGCCCACGGGATCTGCTGCCATTGGAACGTCACTGTTGCAGCCCAAATTGCTACATGCTGAAAATAGTGATGATGATAAACCCGTCCTCTTGATGGGACATTCCATGGGATCCTTGGCCACATTGCAAATGGCACTGTCCTTGCCATCCAACACTCGAAAATGGGTTGTTTTGGTAGCTCCAGCGCTGGGAATGAGACCAACCATAAAGGACAATAGGAAACAGAGCAAGGGTCCCCTGAAATGGGTATCGCAGGGCTTTGCCAAGGGAGGCAGTGCCATTGGTCGATACGGCCTCCGGAGACTTGTGGGGTAAGCTTTTCTTGGTTGGCTGGGGATCATCGATTTCCATTTTGGCAAAGCAATCAGTCATGACTCATACATTATTTATTTGTTCACTTGCGAAATTCAAAGGGGCAAAAACTTTTGGCGCAAAGGATTGGAGACGGTATGGGGAGATTCCAAAAGACTTTTGGATGGAGATGTTTTGCGGTTTCAGTGGCCAGCCATTGGTCTGGGCTGGGAAGATGGGATGCTCCGGTTTACGCAAGCCATGGCAACAGAACCGACAACCTTGACAGATCAGGAACTAGTGGAACAAGTTTTGAATGCTGACAGCAATGCGGTCATTACCGTAATTGTGGGCGGCAATGACAAGGTGGTGTCCAGCAAGGTGGTCCAAAACTTTTTGGCCCCCTATGGTGATCGCATCCGCATTGTGGAAATGGCAGGGCTGGGACATGATCCCTTTGAAGAAGATGTGGACGGATTCATCAATCTACTGGAACAGCTGCTGGAAGAAGACAAGGAAAGAATATTGATAAACCAATAGTGTTGTGCATAATTCTAAAGGAAAGAACTAGTAGATGACTTGAGCCGTGATGAAGTCGGGAGGGGAAGCAATCTCTGCTCTCCATTCTGGATCATGATGTGGAACTACCGGACACTCATTCTTTTTGGGTTGGGACAGCATCGAGCTCCATCCAAAGAAGATTTCTGTTGCTTGCTCTGGGTTGCCACGGTCCGAATGTTGGCGCCAGTCGATACTTTATGAGCGTTTGCGATTATGATTACATAATACAATCCATGCTATAGTGAGATCGCCTGATGAGACTGCTCACATTTCGCCTGCATGCATGCATGTGGTAGGTTTGGAGGCAAGGACACAAAAGACTCGATGGTAAAGATGCCGATGTTGACTCCCTCCATGATACGTCTAGTTAGGACATGCTGCTTGCTGCTACTGATTCGTACACCCCTTTGTCACAGCGCCATTACTAGCAGTCAGACCTTTCTAAACTTGTTCGATGGTGAAGTGGTGTCAGCTACGCTGTTGGATGATGCTACCCAAACGCTGTACGTGACATCGGTACCCACCGGATTCCCCAAAACGTTCTTTTCTCTCTTCAAGATTTCATCCACGGGCAATCGCGACTACAAGGTTATCATTCCCTTTCGCGATGGACGCCAAACCATGGATCCAACCTACCTGGCTCTGCATGACAGCGGCAACACGCTCGTGCTGTTGGCTAATGGTGGCTTTAGCGACCCGAATATTAATGGCGGCAGTGATTGCACGGTATACTTTATCGACGCCTCGACGGGATCCATCACGGGCGACCACGTCACCCTAGCAGGTCCTGAGTTTGTGGATTCCAATGGATACACCAATACACTACTGATTGCCGACAAGGCCATCACTTCCACGGCAGATGCCAATAAGATCTTTGTCATGGCGGGAAGCCTCATGGATATCAGTTCCGCTGCCTATGGTTACAGTATTTTCAAGATTGATGTCCCCTCAAGATCCATTGATTGGACGAACCATCATTTACCGAGTGGATCGGATGGAGCAACGCCTTCGGATATGCTGGAGGTCAACGCGAGCTACCTGTTGGTAGCTGGATTCTTGGGACTCTTTCGTTACGACTTATCCACCGGCACTCGCACCGATGTTTTGGCCAATACACGCATCAACAATCTACTTCATATCGCTGCATCCAATTTGGTACTTGCCGGTGCCGCTGGAACGGATTCTTCCACTGCCTTGGATGCCACCACCTTGGCGACCCAATGGACGACACCCAATGGACGAGGCATTGTCTATCACATGCCCGGTCCCGACGCCAACACCGTTTGGTTCACGCGAAATCTCATCCCGGAGGATTCCGAGAATTGGGATTTCGAAGTGGGAGTCATCGGATTGTCGGATGGACGCCCATTATGGAGTCAATCCTACGACGGAGGCTCTGGTCTGTTTGACGTTGTGGTCGGATTCCACTCCTCGCTGGGAACCACGGCATATGTGGGTGCCAGTGGTCGTCAAGCGACGGACATGTGCCTTTCCAATCTGTTTGGTTTGCTACCTCGTGCTCTGATTGGGGATGCCCAGGTACTGACGGTGGATCACTCTTCCCAATCCATTAATGCGGATCAACAAGTAGTGGATACCAGCATTGGAGCTCCTCGCGTCTTTCGGAGCAGCGACATTTTGGGATGGATGATCAGCTTTGATGGTAGTGCCATTCGATACGAATACAGCTAGCTATTAATAGCAGAGCAATTCAGATATTGGCGGAGGAAACCAGATTTGCGTGACACCCATACGGTATGAGGACCAACTCTGAATGAACTCGCCGTTCCATCCGGCAACTTGCAGGAACTGCTTGGCTGACAGACAGTAAATTCGTCGACAGTGAGGTCTAATGCATGGGTCCTTCAAACTCTACTGGATCAAGAAGACAGGTGCTACACGAGCTGGTGGATACCAGTAGTGGATGCATGAACCTCGAGTGTGTTTCTTTGGTTGAACGACTTATCCTTCCTACTTTGCTGGGCAAGGAGCACAGTTACACCCACACAGATTTGTTCTATAGCAGGCTGAAAGGTTGGTGGTTGGAACAGCCTGGAAATTGCCACCGTAATGAATCAAGTCATTTGGAGCGGCAACCTTATCACACAGCTCATCTGGTGTATGGCCTTCCAAGGATGTATTTGTGGTCACCAAACTCATCAATTTGTCCAACAGCAGGAGCTCTGTAGGAAGATTGCCGGAAACACCTGTATTTTGCAACTCCAGTGCCACAAGATTGGACAAGCAGCCAATTTCTGTGGGAAGAGGGCCGGAGAATGGATTGTCATGCATGAAGGCGTGCTCCAATCTTGCTAGTTGGGATAAGATTTGGCCAGAAATGGAGCCTGACAAGTGATTGTCATTGATCCACAACAGGCGCAGATGAGTAAGTTGGGAAAAGTGACTTTGTTCCAGTAGCCTGCGTTCCATCTTGTTGGAATTAATCACTAGCTAGAGAGTTCAACTCTAAGAGGGCGGAAGGCAAATATGTATAGCAAATTGTTGCAAACTTAGCAGCAGTGATAAAAGGTGCGCACCCGGCATCCGTGACAACTCTCTCGGCAAAGTGCCTGAGATGGAGTTCTCTGACAACCCCAAGCTAGTCTGCAGGCAAATTCATAAGACTTAGTGTTGAAAGAAAGTATTGCCACAGGATTCATTGGTGACTTACCAGCTTTGTCAGCTGTGCGAAAAAGGCTGATGATGGTGTTGATAAAGAGGTTGCTATAGTGTTGTGTTACTACTTGGTAGTTGTTGTGTGGTTGATTTTAGTAATCTGGTAATCTGGTAACTGGATAGTCATAAATCGCTACCACAGGTCATTTTCGGTCCCCTCAAGCTAGAGGGGGATCTATCTCACGCTAGATTGCACTTGGAATGGGAAAACAGACTTCGGAAGTCTGAAACAGGATGTACCCTTGATGAAGATATGCATCATATGAATGGCTACATCGCTCTAGCATGTCATTCGTCTCTCAATTCGTCATTCAACTCAACATGATTTCATTTCGTTCATTGTTCAAATGGCTGCTCTCCTGCTTCTAGCCATCATTCTTCAATCACAGCTTCAGGTTGCATTCGGGCAACAGCTTCAGTCTCTATGGAATCTTGTGGGAAAACCTAAATCCTGGGCCAGACTGCCAGGACCTCATGGGTCACACAGGTAAAAAAATGGCTCAGCCCATTCAGGACATTGACTTTTGTCTCTGAACTTCAGGGTCCTGTTGCCAGGGTCATTCTATTCTCTCTTCTTGATCGTTCAATCTCTGACACAAAGTCCCCTCAAACCTGGACTATCGTCATCATCTGGTCTCACAACAGCATCTGGTTGCTTGTAGATCTTCTCTTGATTCATCAAATTGCATCTTCCAGCCTGTTATTTGCTAGTAATACTGCAGCTTATTGGGGAGTAATTTGGTTTTAGATTAAGCTGAAAAGCAACCAATAAGCCAAAAGTGAAGATGTCTTGGGGGGGTCGCCTGCCCGGTAAGCTTCGACAAGACCGCCATAGCAATTCTTGTTAGTGAATTGGATATAAGGACCCCCTGCTACACTTTAGACCTAAAACATCCCTTGGTTCCTTGCAGAGATCAATTTACATGCGAACCGGACTAAATGATTAATACAGGAGTCAATAGTAAGAGGGTCACGTATGTTTCCTCCAAAACTCCTGCACGGTGCCCAAGTGGCTACCAGTGGAACGAATAATTAATTAGGAATCAGACAAGGGGTAGATGCCCATGATGAAAGCCCTGTGGCTCGTGAAAGAGCTTGCCCATGAAGGGGCTTTGTGAAAAAATCGTCCACGCATCTCCAAGGTTGGCAGTACACACTCTAAGGTTGCCTTTTCAATTTGTCATGAATAAAAAAGAAAAGAATTTGATAGCCCGAGTCTCTTTTGCGAATGCCTTTGCCATTCTCTGCAAGAATGATCTCGCTTGTGTCCCTTCATGAGGATGTTTTCCTTCACAACGATCCCCATGCTCTTCAAGAACACATTTGCCCACAACATGGGCGAAATAACATCGTCAGCTCCAAATCAATTCCGCTTCCGTGCTGCACCTCGAATTCAATTTTCTGTTTCGCAGACACAGACAGCACCGCACCACTTCCAAAGGACAATGACTTCACTACCTGTAATGCGGAACGGTAATCAGGAGGACTCGCAAATGATATAAACCACCACTCACACTACCAGTAAAGTCAGATGATGGTTATGTCATCAATGTGTCAGGATCACATTGCCTGCGAGCCAGTTCTGACAAAAATGAGAGCCTTGAACCAACTTGTCCTCAATCATACAGATGATGCGGCTTCTGACACGAGTGGGCATAAGGCGCAGTAAGTGGAGAGTCTGTGCACATCTGGTCGATGCCCGCTTGCACAGGTAAGCAACTAAGAGCGTTGTGCTGCACAGAGGAATATGATAGGATCTTCTCTTCTTGTTCATTGTAGGACCTCACAGGGATGGTGCCATATAACCGAGAACAGCTGAATAGGTCAACAGGAGCTGCACTTGGTAACTTTTCATTCACCAAAGTCCACGTGTAAACTCTAGACTCATTTTCTTAACATAATCTATCATGTCAGTCACAACCTTTCTTGGGTTGAAAAATCCACCGTCATCCCCAATAGTCATGCTTGGTGACCACGGTGTTGCGCTTCACGTGCTCCATAGGTTTCATACCTAGCGTTGAAATCATCCAGAGTTTGGTTGCTCACCAACTTCATCTGTGTCTGGAGCATCAAGTATCAGTCAACCTATGGAATCGGATTGTTTGTTGTTGTTACCCCTTGATCATGCGTTGGTGGCCACACAAGGATCGTATCTGTTGAACACAAATCCATATTTCTTCGAGGGTCGCTCCCTGAAGAGCTGTACCAGAGTAATCGCTGCCAAAACCATTCACGTTAGATGGTCTTTCCACAACGAACCACTAGGGACTGGTTCGTGCCCTTCTTGTAGTCATGGAAAAAGGGCATATTGTCAGGGTCATATTTAAACAAGTATGGTCTGCAAAGGTTTCCCTCAATGATCATGAAGACGCTGTCTTCACCTTGATTGACTTCTGGCATTGGGATTTGGATGAACTCATTGGTAACATCCACGAAGACAATGACATCCCTTCTTCGATTGCATCGACACACAAGGATAGACATCAAACCTCTCAAGTGAGACTGTTGGACTTACTGGCATCTTCTTTCAGATGGTACACCCTTGTAGGTTTCCCATTGTAACTGAACGTGGCCCTTGACGGTGCCTATCCCTTTTCTCAGATCACACACATGAGTGCCATTTGTGCCTTTTTTCAATTCAGAATCACTGCATTCGTTTTGGTCGACTGGACTGAAACACACCTCCTGCTGTGAGCTGTCCAATCTCTTTTATGAGCCCGCCCTTTCTGGCATTTGTGCCCCACACTTTCAAGACCTTGGGTAGAAGAGCTGTGTTTGGCGTATGGCTGCCTCATTCCGACTCTGCAGTGCACTTCCTGTGAGGACAGGTAGTCCAGTGCAAACAAAAGCCGTAGAGGGTGTTGCCTTTGTCGTTTCGGTAACGATGTAGAGGGTTGGTGCCGTCGTCATCGTGGCATGAAGGCAACTCCTGTCTGCCGCGCTGGCGATCGACCTGAGCCGCGAAGTCAAGCTCGACGCAAGCTTGGAAGCCTCGGCCCCTGGCCAGCCGAGCCATCAGGTGGATCCACGTGCTGGGTGCCCTCCTCAACTGTTGAGGGTGGCGGACTGCGTGCGGGTGGGATGTGCCTGCGAATCCGCTCTCCCTGCTGTCAGTCGGAGTGCAAGTCTTGGCATAACTGGTGTGATGCCATTCTAGCCCGGGGGCGTGTGCCCGTCCTCATAAGCTCAGTCGATGTCCGTTGAGTCCACGGAATTCGTGCCGAAGAGTGCTCCAGTCAGACGTTGGAGCGTAGCCTCTCATGTGGTCCATGACACCAGCTCAGCTCCTGCCAGGCAAACTCTAGCAGGTGAAAAGGCCAACAAAGATCACGGTGGCGTGAAGATAGATGTGCGTGTGCTTAGCCCGCACGTATGCCTGTCTGTCGACAGCCACAACTGACGGAGCGAGGCAATCGGCCAGAGGCCGACGTGCCGGTCGCGGGGGCATGCACCGCAAAGGTGTGACGAGTCCATGTCGACACTGCGTCACACCGGTGGCTGTCTAGCAATGCGCGACGGAGAGAGATGCCAATCCAAGCCCGCGGCTTCCACTGCCGAAGTGAGCCTGTGTCTGTGGGTCGTGTTGGAAGCTAGACAATAGCTCCCAAAGTTGTACTGAATATCTTTGTTGCTTGTGGTCCGACACTCCAAGATCTGCTTGGGAGGATACACTTTGGATATTCCATCAAGCGCGGTGAAGAGTTTGAGTTTACAGTTAACATCCTACACCAATTCCACAATCTTCACCTTTGGCATCACTATGAATGGGGTTGAATGCAAGGCTGCGCGGATGAGCTCCTTCAAGGGTCGGATGGTCCGCTCGGCGGGACCACAGTGAGTCTGAGCCTGTGCCCGTGCCAGGAGATGAGCCGTGAGCGTTCCACTGTCGGTCGTGTGAACATGATCCAGCAGCGCCTCGGAACGCCAGCGTCCACTGATATTGTGCGGTAATCAATTGTTATGTATGTCCGTGACGATCAGAACAATGCTGTCGAAGGCGGAATGTAGACAGGATG